ATTTTTCTAGCCTTTAACAATCCCTGAACTCGAGATGATATTAGTTCTATGTTAGGTTGACTTGTCATGTGAGAATTATGTAATGATCAGCTAATTTTTTGCCTCTAGTTTAACTTGAAACTAGGCAAATGCTCACCTCAAAATCGAGAACAAGAAAAGAATTTTTTTGTCATGTATTCATGATACGTCAAGGGCCTTAAAAGCCTAGCAACATGTTTTTTTATCCTGAATTCGACCAAAATTCTTTAACTAGTTGATGCTAGTGTTAATTGCTTGATTGACTAACTGCAAATCTGGGATTTCTCCTTTACTTTTCTTTTAGGATCATGAATATATCAATGTGTCTAGTGATAAGGGCATAAACTGCAATGCACTTGTAGAGAAATAGAAAAGGTAAAAAATATTATTCATCTAACCCTAATCTCTCTTAGATAGAGTCATAGAGATTAGGAGGATATTACAAAATAGGTATGAGATAAATTATACCCAATCACATCTCATAATGTCTCATAATATCTATTAAATCTACTAATACTAAATTATCAATAATATCTAACACTCCCCCTGAAACTGGAGCATATGTTCTATATATGCACAACTTGTTACAAATGGGAACAAGACAGTTAGTTGCAAGAGCTTCAATAATGTCATCTTTGTCTGGTTGAAGACGTCAACAATCAGAAAATTACAGTCACAGCCAGTAGAAATCCTAGACATGTAAGCCAATAAAAGAAAGCCTAGGTAGGACTACTGGTAGAGACGGTAAGCGAGAAAGCCAGTAAAAATCCTAGGCTTATGAAACACTGACTCTCGGAAACAAGCCCCGAGTCCGTGTCCGACGCTTGTCGGACGCAGACACGCATTTACGTGGTCAACGCCGCCGACACGGGTTAACGCCTCGACCGCTCCGGACACGCTTGTTTCTCTCCCGACACACGGCTGAGAGGGCAAAAAAAGAAAAGAAAAACTGTAAACCCGAAACCCAAACCTAAACCCTAACCCTAGTTTTAACTCACCCGATCGACTCTTCAGCTCTCTCTCGATCCCAATTGAAAAGAAAACGCCGCCATCTCTTTCTCGATCGTCCTCGTCGTCCTCGATCGTCCTCTCAGCAACCCAAACCCTAATGGTTAGTCTCTCTCTCGATCTCTCTCTCTGATTCTTCGTCTCTCTCTCCCCCGATCTCTCTCTCTCTCAGGCTCTCTCTCCGATCCCTCGATCTCTCTCAGTCGCTCTATGGATCTCTCTCTCTCCGATCTCTTCCTCTCTCTCTCTCTCTCTCTCTCTCGAACACTGAACCAGAACAATTTACAAACCATCTCGCGTCTAATTCCTCTTTTGTAAACATTCTTCAGTGTAAGACATTAGGCCCATACAAATTCCTTATTCAAAGCTAAAGCCCGCAGGAATTCTGAGTGGGCTCTAGAATAACAAAGCCCATCTAAATTATATTTCCTAATAGGGTTTACTTGACATAATTGCACCACATCTTCAATGTGTTAATATAATCCCCAGAATCTTTTTGAGTGTTTGGAATTTAGTCCATCTAGTTACCGGCAAGTTAAAAGATTTTGGGACTAAATTCAAAACCCTTTACACATTTGAGGGACTAATTTCAAAATATATTGATTTGATGGGGATTGGGGGGGGGGAGTAATTCCAAAATATATAAAGACTTAGTATTTTGTAGCAATGGAACTAGTTGTAACTTGAACTTTATTCTCTTGTATTTTGATATGCTCAAGATGAAAGTAATGAAAATTAAAATTTGGTATTATCTTCATCAGATACATAACTTATATTTGTCATTGATTATACAAGCCAATGTTACATAATAATATAACATAAAAATTGATCTATTTTTCTATATGTTCATCTTCTCTTTCTCGTCTTCTTTAACATTATTGTCTTTAATTCTTCAAGAGATCATTGCCATCCTGACGTCTTAATTCACACCTGCAACACACTTTCCTTTAGTTTCTTATTTATAATCTCTACTTTACATAACAAAAAAAATATGAAAATGTAATAGAAATTTAATTCAATATTGATCTATATATAATAATAATATTAAAAAATCTAGCTGTGTCGCCGTGTCCTTTTTTTTTTGGGTTTTGCTGTGTCCGTGTCGTATCCGTGTCGTGTCCGTGTCGCCGTGTCCATGTCCGTGTTTCATAGTCCTAGGCGAGTAAGCCAGTAGAAACATCGAAAGAGGACCAATGTCGCCGCATATCAAGGTTTTAAATGTCGGATGTCGGGGACATGTCGGATGGCTGAAATCCATGTCGGATAGCGAAAATCGGGGATATATCGGGGGACATTGACTAAATATCGGATTGTCATATCGGGTAGTGCGCATATGTATAATATCATGTCCTAAATGTAATATAAGCATTCATAAATTAAATATAAGCATACTTTATAAATTCTATAGACTAAACATATAAAAAAGTAAATAATATACGGATTTGGGTTCATAAATTTTTTCTATTGGGTTCATAAGAAACCCTTAAACATGAGAACGGGTCAAATGGGTTTGGGTATTTATTACTAAACCAAAACCCGATAACAAAAGTCATATCTTAAAAAAAGTACAATATCGGTCGATTTTTTAAAGCTAAAAAATAGGCCGATATGCCCGATATAACCTTGATATTTCCGATTTGGCCCTGAAAACCGACATACGAGTTAAAAACGTTCATGTCGTGTCGGTCAAGCCCTCAAACCGATATGTCGGCCGACATGTCGGACATGTCGGCCGACATTTAAAACCTTGCCGCATATAACTACCAAAAATGCGAAAGAGTGAATAGTAACTCCGATAAGTGTTCATGGCATGAGACTAACCTCGGTACTGTTCATCACGTGTACTGTTCATCACGTGAACAGTAGATGCCAATTTCCCCCTTTTATTTTTAAAATTGGGTTATTTTTGTGGAGGTTGTTTGATAAGATCTAGAAAACAATGATACCTAAGTTGATGTTGTTGAAGTTGCCGATGCCATCAGAGTCGCCAAGGGAAGCATGAAGGCCATGCAAAGCGTCGTCGACGGCCTTGAGAACTAAAAAGTCGGGAGAAGTTCTGTAGGATCAAGTAGGCTTTGATACCATGTAGAGAAAATAGAAAAGGGGAAATATATTATTTATCTAACCCTGACCTCTCTTAAATAGAGATTAGGATGATGTTACAAATAGGTATGAGATAAATCATATCTAATCACATACATCTTAATATCTCATAATATCTACTAAATCTACTAATACCAAATTATCAATAATATCTAGCAACACTAACTGTATGATCAAGGTCATGAGAACTACTATGTTTTAACTGCCTAGAGTTGATGCCTTTCTAGAGCACCCCTCATGCCAGATCTCATCTTTGTCGACCAGTTTGACCTTTAAGTTGTCATGTCACCTCCATGTACCTTGATACAAAACAATGAACCTAATACACTGTCAATAAGTACTATATAAACTGGTAATATGAATTACAACAAATTGTCATGTGAATTAGTTCGCATGAACATAGTATTTAAGTCAGTGTTTGTGTTTCAACCTCCAGTATGCAAACCTGCTATCTTCAGTAGAATATTGTCTGCCTGAATGGCTTTAGTAGACAATACGACTTGAAATGCTGTCACATGTTTTTTTCTGTAAATGTGACCATGTGTTCATATGGTCAATGCGGCAACAGTTGTTTTTTCCCTTTCTTTCTTGAACTTGTGGGGTAAATCATGTGGAAGCTTGAATGTTTGGGTAATTTATGGCTTGTTTAACATTCTAGCAATTTCTAGACAAAAGAGACTACTAAAATTTCTTATAAGGTAAAAGTTTTTCTCTTTTAAGAGCTGTAAGAGCATTTGATCATGCATGCTAACATGCCCATGATTCGTCTTGCTTTTGCTATATTCTTGCATATTGCATCATTTTACCAATCCTATTTTGAGCACTGTATGACTTGTTTGCATGCCTATGATTCGTTGTCTTTGCTATATTCTTGCAAGATTCGTCTTGCTTTTGCTATATTCTTGCATATTGCATCATTTTACCAATCCTATTTTGAGCACTGTATGACATGTTTGCATGCCTATGATTCGTTGTCTTTGCTATAATCTTGCATCTTGCATCATTTTACCGATCTTATTTTAAACACTGTATGATTTGCTTCTGGTGTAATATTGTTTCATAACTGATCTTTGTCATGGTTGGTAAACTTTCAGAGATGGGTTGCAAGGACACTTTACAGAATGTTAGAATCATTTCACGGATGACACTGATGTACTGTTTCATTGTTGTTGTATTATTTTAGTAATATATGTTTAACAGCCCATGCTCAAAAATACCTGGAAGAAGACGTCTTGATGAAGCGGGTTTAATAACCCATGCCCCAAAATGCCTGGAGGCTGAGGCACAGCTTGCTCCAACTTGTTGTAAAGATATTGTTCCATGATATTGGAGAAGAAAGATTTCGTGAGCTTATCAAAGTTGGTAGAATAAGTTGGCACCATTCTCTTGTTAAATTATGTTACTATATGTATAATCTGTTGAAATGAAGTAGGAAGCTTTTAAACAAGTTGTGTATATGTTGGATACCAGAAGCAATCTCGTTGAGAATATCCATTATAATTTGCTTCGATCAACAAATTATGTAATGTTGAGTAGGATGTTTTTTACCATGACCACTTAGTGGGCAATCCTATTGTACTGTTGTGCAATTTTCTCCTTGATTTGGTGCTTTTGTGGACAGGTAGGCCTATGCTCGTTTCTTTTACCGTTTGAACACCATTATCCCTGAGTTTTTGGTTATAGGATGTAAATAGGTGCTCGCATGAACTGTGGATTGGGGCTTACCTAACGGATCAAATGCGCTATATAATGTACTCTTTTTGTTCGAGAGCGTGGAATGGTTGTCCAATCACAAGTTACTGCCTTCTATAGAGTTCAAGCCGGGTGCGAGAGATTTGTTCTATCCACGATGCCGGATGTTGCTGCCACTGTTCTCTACCCCCCCCCCCCCACACCCCCCCCCCCGTAGGCACAAGTTTCCTTTCATGAGAGTTTAGAAACCATGCATTAAAAGGATATGTAAAGTATCACAACATTAAGAAATATTATCAGCACTAAATATTAATTTATTTTGTTAATCGACATATAGAGCTCACAAGATGATCAACTACAGGCTGTGTGTTCATGATTTACTTTGTTAATTAATTAAATATAGAGTTCATAACAAAATCAACTACATGCCGTGTGTTCATAATCGACTAGTTAGAAGTCACAATTACAATATGCTATTTGCCCTTTCAACAATAGAAGCTGAATATGTGGTGGCGATAAAGCGTCAAAAGAGGTTCTAAGATTGGAAAGATTGGTTGTTGATTTCGTGTTCAAACATATATTGCCATAGATTTATTATGTGACTGTCAAGTTTTACCTTTAAATACTTGTTCATTTGACCATAGCTGTCCTCGGTCATACAGACTTTTTTTCCCCTTCCAAATAACGGCTGCAGGGGAGTCATTAAGAAATCAAGTAAAACAATACCAAACTTACAGTCTTATAAAGCCATTTAAGAAACTAATTGCTTAAGACTAATCTCACTTACTCTTCCAAACTAAATATTATTATTACCTCTAAGTTTTACCTTTAAATACTTGGTCTTACAACAATAGCTGTCCTCGATCAAATAGTTTTTTTTTCTCGAATGACGATTGTAGGATAGAGTAGTCATTAAGAAATCAAGTAAAACAATACCAAACTTACAGTCTTATGGAGCTATTTAAGAAACTAATTACTTAAGATCTTAGTCTTCCAAACTAAATATTATTATTACCTCTACAAATAGAACCCCTTCTGCCCAAAACCCCATGTATCCTAATTAAATAAGAAGAAGATGGGTTTCTGGATGTATGAGATATGGAACAAGGGAGAGAACAATGCAGTGTTCAACTTCCGGGGTGAGACAACGGTGGCAACGGTGAGACGCCTGACTACAATGGTGCCTTGGTGACCGACCGCAGTGATCCTCTGCTCGTGGATACCTTGTTAATTAGGCGATAAATCTGACACTTGGAATGTTTAAGATGATAATTGGGAGATGCACTTCTATGTCGTTAGCATTAATGCAGAAACGTCTCGTTGGTTAGGAAACATCGAAGTATTGCACAACTATATATGGAAGGTTCGACGTTTGGGCCGGCATCTGATGATAGGATAGCGCGCGATTGGGCAATGATGATAGGAAGTTAGGGAGGGAGAGTGACGGCAAAACTTTCCCCTACTTAATTTCTTGTTACCCTGAGCGGGGTTGAGCACTTCGAAGCTTTCCCACTGTAGGGACTATTAGCCCTGTCCAAAAAGCCCGCCGTCCCGGNGGGTCCTCTCGCTGGCGCCCGACCCGGAACAGTTCCGACCGGGTAACGAAACCAGGCCGGGCGGCCCGGATCAGGAGCCCGGCCTGTCCGCAACGGTCACCAAAAAAACCTATCACGCCCCGCTTCCCAAAATAACCGGGAATCGGAACGTGAACAAGCCCGCGACGTATTTGATTAAGGAGAAAAATAAAATTAAACATTTCTCCTCAACCTAATACACTAAGCGTCAAGCAATATATAAAGCGAAGTCACAGGTCCCCGATCACAATAGCGAGAATGTAATAAACAACACAGAAGAAAATAATACATATCACAATGAATATCATCCCAGACATAATATTCAGGTCAACATGCCCTCACATGTCACTAGGTCTGTCCATGACGCACGAGGTCACTAAGTCATGAACTACTAATGGTTTTCAAACAAAATAGGAACAATAAAAGTAGACATGTCAAATACAGTAAAATATTCACAAAACATGAAATGTAATCATGAATCAGTAAAAACATGCATACAGTCCGGTTTCATTCAATATCTTGTTACCCAACCCTCTAACTACTTATACAACTTATCAACAGCTAAATAATATCCAATATGACTACGGTTAAAAAATAAAATCGAAAAACTATGATCGTTTTACACATAAAATATCGCACTCTACAACTACCTGCACAAAATCATAATTTAATTTAAATCCAAAATAAATAATTCTTTTTCGAAATAAATTCTTTTAAATTATCATAATTATCAAAAATATAATTCTTTTGTCGAAAATAATTTAACAACTCAAAATGACCCCTTTTTCGAAATAAATAATTTTAAATTATCTATTTTAATAAAAAATAATTTAACAACTCAAAATGACCCCTTTTTCGAAATAAATAATTTTAAATTATCTATTTTAATAACTATTCAATACTAACCCATTTTCCAAATAAATTCTTTCTCATCATAATTATTCTAAAAACCATCTTTAAAAATAATAATCTATTAATTCTTATCTTTACAATATTAGTTATTCTTATCTATCATCAAACAATCCACACATATAATTATATCACAATTTAAAAACTATAACCAATCACAATACAGCCAAAATACCGAAGGTGATTTTTTCAGCGGGCAAAAATCCGGGCCGGGCGGCCAAACGG